ATGTCCCTGTGTGTTCTGCTCCTGTTCCCTACTCTCATTTTTCTAAATTTCTCTTTATGTTAACGTGCAACACAGCCAAAGATGGCCATGAAAAAAGCTTTGTAAGGAGAGTATATGTAAATGGAAACAAGTTAGTTTTTGAAATCTATTCTTTAAATATGCCTAACGTGCATGAAAATCACATAATACATGCAAATAGTTTGTTACTTTTATGGATAAGCAGGAAAAATACAAATCAAACAATAACAACTGATATATTACTTTAATTACACCCATCAAGGAAAGAAGATTATAAAAAGGGCGTAATGTTTACATGTAAACTTCATAGTGAGATTCGAGGTAGTATAGGTAGAAAACAAAAGTTTCAAGGAAGGAAACAGAGAAACCTGTTACTTTAAAAGAATGTAAAACGTAGGAACAGACCTTCTGCCTAAAATATTAAAGAATTCTGACTTGATAATAAAAAAACAAAGGATGAGTTGAAAAACTGGTTAATGTCAATATTTTTTAAAAAAATCATTAGGGCATTCAAAATTTACTGAAAACAACAGCAAGTATTTGACATATTACAACTGAGTTTGTCTAAACAGAAACAGAAGAATTGTCTTTTCAGACATCCTTTCGTTAGACCAAAAAAATGCACTTCCTCTCCTTATGAGGGAACATAAAAACTTAAAGCAACCATTTCAGCCAAACAGCAAGTAGCATCTTCACGATGCACATCTTATAATGTGATAAGATTCAAGGAAAAGGTATCACTGAGGCTGAAAATGCCACTTCCCAAAGTACCAGCTGGGCACTTCCGAATGGGAGCACGCCTGTGCTGCGCACAAACCAGCAGTAGTGGAGCTGCAGCCACGCTGGTGATAGATACAGAGCTTGCACAAGATATGTCTGCAGATAATCTTAAGCTGCACTTGACCTTATGGCAGAGCAACAGCCAACATGCAGTAGAGAGCACTTAAGCCCCTTTAAGCTTTCACTCTTACAGAGCCCGGAGGGATATGCAAAATTAACACCACACTCAGCAAACATCGGTGAATGGCCAGGGATGACAATGCCATTCAGAAAACAGATTTATCAGCCACCTTGAAAGAAAGAATATGAACCCTTGGAACAACTTTTCATTGTGATGCCAGTTTTCCATCCTCTTGCTATTTTTAATGATGAGTAGGTGGATTTATGTAGGATAAAAGAGTGAACTGAGCCCTGACTTGCTCTCCCTGAAGTATAACCTAAATCTACCGAACAGCACTAGGTCAGACAGAAATTGGGCCAGAGTGCATCTAAGAACTGAACTTAATTTGTATAAACAAACAAGCTTTATTTACAGTATCCCTTCATAAAATCCCAGGCTTGGAGTCTGCATGTTCTTTAGAAACTCCATTTATGTACACTTGAATGCCTATTTAATCAAAAAACAAGGGAGCTTTCCCATGGAAACCACACAGAGATGTTTTACTTCACACGTACACCACAAATAAGGCTGCTAACTTTCCATAATTTACTGTATTTTCTTAGACTTGCTATTGTATTTTAGGACCAAATCTTTTGGAGAAGCTGCTTACGCACGAGGCCACAGGCATATAAATAAATGACCTAAGACAGGCAAAGCCCAAGATGTGAACTGGCAGGAAACGGCACCTTGGCAGCTTGTAAGAAAATGCTCATATTTTTGGTTTCCTTGTTTCTAGCTGAAGGAACAGGTTAAAATTTTGCATTTAGTTGAGAAATAAGCAATCTGGAGGCATCTGGAATCACATTATTTAATCAGGGCTTGATTCCTCCCTTAAAATTAAATCACGCCAGAGGGTAATCCCTGGGCTAAGACAATAGCAAACTTCAGTTACCAGATGCTATCTCTCTGTTAGGAATCTAAGTCAGTGGGTCTCAAAAAAGCCAGGTGACTTTTAAAACTGCTTAAGAGGACAGAGAGAAAGAGAAACTTGATTTCTCTGACTTTATCAGGCAGATATAAATTGGTGCCACTGCTTCATCAATAACACAAGCAGTTATTCTGAGTGAATGAAAAAGATCCTGCTAAACTGATACTTTGATTTAAGAATTTGCCTTTTAGATTTAGGTGATATGTGTTTAGGTGTGAATGCATACAATCTACTTCTATATGTATGTATTTTAGGGGAGTAATTTTGTTCCCACTTATAATTATTACTGATTGTCTCAAGGCTACAGCAAAGGGTTAAGTCCTAACTTCAAAAGAGATGCCTACCCCTGCTGGGGGCAACAAAGATAAGCAAGGATACCAAGACTTTCAAGTCTAGCCCCAAGTTGAAGGAATTGGATGGGCTCATCTGTTTGAAAAATAACAACAACAAAACCCCAAAATAATAAACCAACCCTGGGAGAACGCTGGGCACAGAATCAAAGTCTCTTTGGCATGAACTTATGACAGCTCTGCCCATGAATAAGCAGGCTCTGTTGAGTGGCTGAAAACAGAAGCAGGGCTTGCCAAAACTGAGGATGAGGAAATCTCTGAGTGATGCGTTTCAAACTTGGTAGTGCTTCTACATCCTATAGAGCAGCATGGCATACATACTTCCTTCAGTACATGACTGGAGAGCTAATGAATCCAGTTGGTGCATGAGCAAGTAAAAGCCATCCCTGATGGCGTCTTAAAACTACAGCAAGGAAGATGATGCAAACTGATCCCTCAAGTATCTGAGAATAAGGGTCAGATATCAGAACATCAGATTGAAGAACTCGTGGCCCTAGAACAGTTGGACCAGAAAAACAGAGCTGTTTTGTCTCAAAGAATACCAGGCACTTAGGAGACCGTTTGGCTATGCAGGAAAAAGACTACATATAAGCAAAACCCAATAGACAGTATTTAGAAACACGAACAGTTGTCCTCGATTTATCCAGGGCTACATTTACTTCAGCTGAGCAGAATTACATTCCTCCTAGGGGCTAAATCATGCGTCCTTCTTTTCTGCTTTTATTTGGGATGTTTTGATACTGTGCTCGAACTAATATATTTAATTAGAATGCTTTCCTGTATATCTACATATATTCCCATATACTTGGTCCATAACATGGCTATGGTAAAAATAAAGTAGAATGGAAAGTTATTTGGTTGTGTTGAAACACACTAACCTATTCTAAGAAGCCCTACCAAATATATTAAACAGTTTACATAAGGTTCTCAATTGTGTTAAAAATCTTTCTTAAAATATACTAACACGTATCATACCATCATACTTTTCTTGATGTAGATTTATTTATAGTACCTACTTAGGAATCACTAGTTCCTGCAAGCAAAGCCCTTTTAACTAGAGCAGCTTCTCTGTCTCTTTGCAGCTTAATGGTAGTTATTTCAGACACTGCAGCATAGTTTCTTCCCCCGCTTCTCATCACCTTTCTCATATTACGTATCCAGTGTAAAGCTTAAATGCAAAGGCTCAAACATAACAGTGATTAACCTCACAACACGTACATGTGGTAGTAAGTGTACACATTTAGTGCTTTTGAAGGGAATTGTTACAAAACTTCTAAATTTCAAGTGTAGGGCAGAGAAGTCCATTTGTATACACCCACTCATAAACGAGTGCACTTAGCAGACAACACACCAGAAGGTACTTGTAAGTCTCCAGCAGCAAAAGAAATGCATTTTGTACTATGCTCAGAAAAAAAAAGCCACAGTATTTCTTCTAGTTATTGTTTCTTTTTTTTAACAAAATACTTGTAACATTCTGCTAGAGAAATAAACAAGTCCACACACACACACAAAAAAATCATATTTGGTCAAGAAATGGCTCTCTAGACAATATGGTAGTAAAAACAAATACTGGCAAAAAATTTGTATTACAATGCCTTAAAATCCAAAATCAAATGCTACTTGATGTTCTCCATAAAATTTAAATTAGTATAAAATCTACAAATGCTTCAGTCAATTGTTATTTGTTTCCATCATTTCCAAATTACAATCAGTCTCTGACCATGCCATTCATTCGATTTACTCAGCTTGAACTGTTTTGATTTTACTCTTATTTATGCATCTTTGCTAATTTAATTTAATCTTCTGATTGTCATTCAAAATGTTCATCCCAATATGCTTTGTTATTTATGCAGTTTGATGCCTTTACGTCCTGAACAACTGATAATCAGCCTGTTTAAACCTCTTGCTGTTCTAACATTTTCACATTTTGCAAAATCAAAATACTGGGGCAAGGCCACTGCTCATACTGCTTCATTCAGTTCAAATGGGTTTTGCTTCATGAGAAGACAGGGGTAGTATCTGATACACAAAAGGGCATCACTGCCCATGGTAGCTTGTCCTTGCAACAGAAGCACTCTGGGGAGGCTGTCCAGTCATCTTTAACTAAAGGGGATACTCAGACTGCAGTGGTGTCTCCCCAGCCTAAAATAAGGGCTGGCAGAAAAACTGCCAAGGAAAGAGTAAGAGATTTTCTGTTTCTAGCCAACAGAAAAAGCAGAAAAGAAAGAAATATTCAGAATTCCAGGCTATTTTCTCAAGTTCTCATAGGACTGCTTCCTGTGCCAGACTGGTGGTTTGCTCTACCACCTCCTGTTCTTCCATATCTTCTTATTATGGCCTAATTCCATACCTTTCAGGTTTTTCTTCCTTGCTCTTTCCATCTCACATGCTTCCCTTCAGGGTCCCCTCAACACCCACACAAAGCCGTGGAGTTACCTTGACTGAACTGCTGCCATGCAGATTACTCCTGCTGGGGGCTATCTTGTCTGCTTCGATTGGAAGCTCTTTGGAGCAAAGACTGCCACCACTCTGTGCCCTCAGCAGAGAGTCTTCTTTTGATCAGTCCTCTGGCACTAATGTAATGAGCATGATTAATAAAGTACCTGTCTATACTCATATATGGGAACTCTAGGACTATATGAGAACAAAAACAGGTTCGGCTTTTGTAATGCTGGAAACGTGCAGTTAAACCCACGAAATTTCTGCCAACAAGATAACTGTGTAACAAATGGAATATTTAGTAGGGAATAGGAATCCAACTTACTTTGCTCTCTTGGCCATTTCATTGCCATCCCAGCGGGGGCTGTAAGGGTAATTCTTCTGGGCCTGGGAGTACAGCTGGCCACTGTTAGTGAAGTGGTAGACGGACTGAAATGTTAGGGTGGGTTGGTCTCGAGGAAAGTACAGGGGGAGGTCAACTGCAATACAAAAAAAGAAAAGTCATAAAAACACACCACTGCATTTGTTTCCCCTTTTAAACTGAGAATATAGAATTCCTTTCTATTGATTTAAAGGGGACAGAAAAGGAGAAATTGATGATTACTTCTAAAGTATACTTCTGTATTTCTTATGATTCCAATATATTGCTGTATGGGATGTCTTGCTTTAGGAAAACATTTTTTAAAAGTACATAATTTAAAAAAAAAAAAGTTTAGCTAGTGCACTTGTGTTAATCATAACACACCAGTATTATTTTGTTATAGAAAAAACAAAACAGTTATCTTCCTTTATAGTGAAATTTTCCCTTCCAAAAATTCACAACATACATTCCATTCAGGAAAAATAAATTCTTCTTTATCTGTTTTAGCCAATTCATTTTAGTGTCCCCGTGGACATCAAAAGCATTATCATTCTCATTTTGCAGCTGTATGAGACCTAAAGTGGCTAAAGGCTTTGATAAAGGATGTAGTAAGATTCAGTCACATGAGCTGGAAAAGATGTCAACTTGCCATCATCTGCTAGACAAAAAAAGCAAACACAAAACCAAAAACACAATGCAAAGTCATTAACACCCAAAATACCTCACTAAAAATAAAAATCAGAACTTCTTAGTTCCCTTTGCTTATCACTGTCGCATGATCAGCTAAGTCTGGCAGAACAATACAAGTCTACAACAGCTAATAACATGGTCAGAAACTGGTATTTAACTTAACTTTTTCATTACTTTCTTGGTTTACTTTTAAATTCAGGAGACTCAGAAATCTATACCTAAGTTATGACAAAAGTCTTGAATTATTTACATTAAACGTTTAACAACAAAATTAGCAGAAAAATGTGCACTTCTTTTTAAGGTGCAGACTTCATTTATAAAGCACCTATGACTGTACTTTTTGTTATGCTCCAAATTACAATTCTTTAACACTGCACAGTGAAACAACACTGCAATGGAACATTAACTCCCTGTAAATCTTCAATATTTTTTCCTGTTGGTGTAGCAATGAGTGAAATAAGATTATAATTCACTCATATAAGCCTGGGTTCTCAGTATTCTCTGTTGCTTCAGAGTCCTTTTTCAAGAGACGGAAAGGCTCCTAAGTTAATAAACAGGTTGTAATTGTTGAAGTAGGACTCAAATTAGGCAGCAAAATCAGTACAAACAGAATTTGAAGAATGTGAAAGGAACATTACAGGACTAACCCTATCCTCAGATGGAAGAGGATCCCCCTTCCAGTATGTTTGGTAAGGCACTGTATCCTCTACTTTTAAATACTTCGTGGAGCAGAGATTCCAGCACTTCCTTTGAAGTCTCTGCTCATAGACTGAGGTATCAGTGTAAGACAGGTTTTATTTTTCCAAATCCCATGCTATCATCATGCTAATTACTTCATTATTCAGTTTTTCTAATCATGCCTGAATACTCGGATGTGTATCAGCCACACTAGGGCTCCCTTGTACCTAAACCACCCTTCAAGCTCTACGAGTAACACCGTTAGTAGCCGTGAATTACACAAAACCAAATGTGATATTGCAGTCACAGCCCCAAAATACAACAAATCACTGCGGACGGCAGCGTTTGCTCAGTTCATGACCCAGTGTCTGAGCTGCACGTGATAACTCCCCGAGTTGTGGTGACTCAGCTCACACAGCAGCTTCCAGCAGATATTTAAGTGGTAATGACATGGGCAGAGTTCTGCTAATTTGAGGGTTGTAACAAAGGTTAGATTCAAAGACTGCTCCGTCAAATTCCTCTTTATAACATGATTATTAAATAACACCCCTGAAAAACATCGGTGTATTGAGGCCATCTATCAGCAAGCAAGCTGCCTCCTCCCTTCACAGATGGTACCTGTGTGCTGCAGCCTCTGAAGGACTTCACTGTGGAAAAGAGTATGAAGCAAGGAGAAGGGATTTCCATTTTAATGTTATAAATATACTTCTTCAGCTCTGAGTGCTTAAATTCTCTTTCTATAGTGCATCTTTTTCCTTCTTAAGTCCCAACTCCTTAAAGGAGAGCTACTCTGTATGCTTGTAAATTTTATTGGTGTGTGAAAGGAATAACAAACTTTAGCAAAACACTCGAGTAATAGTCCAGTCCTTAACATTTGACTTGAGAATTTCTAACTTCCATTAACTTTCCTTTGAAAATCTCTGTCCACACAATGGAGACAAGCAGCGGCAGCTTTCTTCCTGCTACTCAAAACTAAAAGTTTGCACTTAAGAAAAAGTATCTAGCACTAGAAACATTGTTTAAATGGATAACTAAGACACTGCTATCACCACAGAGATGCTTCCATTCGTTACAAGCCCATATTATGAAAATATTTTTCAAACCCTAGTATCACCAAAATACAACAGAAAACTTTTTCTTCTTTTATTAACCAAAATTCAGAAATTACTTACATTATAAAGTGCTAAATCAGATAATCAGACGTAAAATTGTACATCCCACATCTGGCCAAGAGCAGTAGCATCCTGAACTGCATATAGCATTTTGAAAAAATTGACCTGCCTTTGATTTCTAACACTATCATTCACCAAAACCTGCCAAACTCCCATTTTTCTAACCCAAGTGTTTCCTTAGGACAAGGTGTGAGATGAGTAAAGTAAAAAAACCTGTCGCTAATTCTGGAACACAACCACACCTAAAAGACCAGTAAACAGGAAACAGCCTTGAGTTGTAAAGTGTTATACACATCTCAAGGTAGCCAGCTATTATTTCAGCAGTGGGAAGGGAAGGCAAGAACTCACTTCCGTCGCCTGTCCATTGCCACTGGGAGAGCACAGAGTGCTTGGATGTAAGATGAAGCATTTTATTGTACATGAAAAATAGGTAAATACCATTGGTAATCAACATTGGCAAGGTGCTTTGAAGATAAAAGGTCAAATTCTGCTCTTGGTTGCACATGTTGATAGAGAAAATGTTACTTTTTACCTGGTTGTACAGGCCATCTGACTCAGTCTGTGCATTAATACAAAATCAGATCTGCCTTCACGCGATACCTAAGATGGCAAAGGTGTTATCATAATTACATCCCAGACAACATTTACACCTCGCCATGAAAAATGCATCACAGTCAAAAAACAATGCACTGCTTTTGTAAATCAGCACCTGAACTAGGCAAACTATAATAGCCTGCTTTGGTTTGGCATGCTCGTTACTTAAGAACTACAAAAACGTATTCATGTTGAATACAAGTACTATTTCCAAATAACAGCTGACTCACAAAGTACCCTGGGTGATATGTCTGCAGAAAATAAGCAGATGACTCATGTCTAAATTCCTGAAAGTACCAATAGACCCCTTGCTTAGTCATCTTTTGCTTGGATGCTGGGTTCACGAGCTCTGTAAACTATAATGAGGGATCTAGCTCTTAGTAGGACTCTCTCTCCCTTTTTTCCTCTCTTCTAAACAGTGCAAATTATCTCCCTAAAAATAACTTCATCTACGTAAGTGAGTCACTTCAACTAGCAAGCTTATACAAGTCATGCAGTTAAGCAGTAATATTTGGTTATGAAGGTAAAAATCTTGCTGTCAAACTCAGATTTAAAATGAAAATTATGTCAGAGGAAGTCCCATTTACCCCTTCTCTCACAGAAATAGAAACATTTCCTTTGGAAAATTTAAACAATTAGCTCATTCAGGAAAGTAAAGCTTTCTAATTCAGTTTCATGCTTAAAGTAATTTAATCTTGATGATTTCTTACTTTGGCTCTCCTAAGAATCACACTGTTAATGTAAGAGGAGCTCAAGGAAGCAGGCTGGAGAAAGAAGCCTATACCATAGTAAAACACTGCTTTCTCCTATGTTACAATTTACAGATCATTTTTTAAAAGCCAAGTTTTAGAAAGACACGGTGCGGGGAAAATCAAGTCTTTATGAAAGCTCTACATGAGCAGAACTTGGAGGGCTGTTTTGGGTAATTAAGCATTGAGTAAATTCTTCAGTGATTGAACCCTAATTTTCCCACACAGTTCATAAGAAAGCAAAAGAAAAAGAACTTGCTTGTTGAGAATGAGTCATGTTGTAAAGAAACTTAATTACAGTTTATAAATAGTTGAAGTTGGTCTCTTTTTGAAACATAAGAAACTATTGAGAAGTAACACACAAATTTGCTTTTCTTGACTTAGGATTTAATACACACATATATTCAAAACATAGTTATCTTAAAGCCAAAATCCTGATTCTTTAATAACTAAAAAAACTGTGCAATGAATCAGTAAGGCTTAATTGTTCCTTTTCTTAAAGAACAATCACACTGAGATCTGGAACAGGTTACCTAGTTTGTTAAGCTTACGTCAACAACTACAGAGTTGCTTTTGACAGTCTTATTAACTCTAAAATAATATCTTTACCATCTAATTTTATACCTTTTTAAACAGGCTATGAAATGCAGAAGGGATGTCTTGGCAAAAGCATGTATCAGTGCTGCTACAGGGTTTCTGCTGAAGGAAAAACGCTCAGAAGAAAAGGGCAGGTTTACCACAGTGCTTCCCTCCCCGCCTTTAAGTACTGGAGAGAAGAGAAGGAAAAACAAAGCCATACTTGAAATGCATGCTGACCGTACAAATATTTCAAAGTACTTGGATGGCAATATTTAGAAAAATTTCCATATACTGTTCCACATTCTAGAGAAAAGGTTTATTCATCCTTTGTAAGTGCTGGATAAATCTAGATACTCGTTTTCACAGAAGTCAACATATATTCACTGAATGTTACAACCCGTTTGAATGCTTGGATGAGACTATACTGGTTATCTTACTAACCTTCTGGATGCTTGAATCTGCTGCAGTTTATTGAACCTGTAATTTGTTTTGCACTCATAAACACTGGCTGATCTGGATATTTTACTGCTGAGATTTGCACTTCTAAAGATTTCATTGCCTGCACACAACCTTAATTCAATCTCTACTTGCTTTATAGAGCAGCCTTCAAACACAAGGTAAGAGAGTATTATTTGAAGTTCAGTTCCCAGGCTGGA